AATAGAATTTTCAAATTCATTAATTTAAAAAATTTTTTAAACTAACATTTTTATCTTATGATAATATAATGTATTAAATTACATTTCACCAACAACTTCTTTGATCAAGTACTATTATAGTTTTTAAAACTTGCAATAAAAATCACTTTTTATTTTATTATAAACACTGAAGAGATAACCATTCCCTTTTGTTTTACTTTAACCAAGTAAAAGGAAGGTTTATAAATTGGATGAATTAGAAATTGAAACTCCAAACGCTGCTATTATCTTGTAGAAATAGTGCATACTAAAAATTGTTGTAACAGAACTTTTAATCAAGACCAACACGTACAGTAAACAAATCACAAAACGAAGGATCCACAAAATACAAGCGCGCACAAGTATACTTTTCACACTTTTACAGGTAACTGTTCTAACATCAGAGACGAAGAATGTGCAGTGCGTTTCAAAATGTTTATGCGATGAAAAAGCCATAGGCTAGATGAACGAAAATTGAGCGTATAATACTCAGAAGATCGGAATGCGCTCTCATGCCAGTACAAGTGAGTTAGAACGATGCTTCCCGTTTCATGACGGTCAACGAAATGTTGTCCGGCGAAACATACGACTCTTGGATGATATTAGAAGCTTAATGGAAACGGAAACATTGAATTGATGCTACGCCAGTTTGTTAACCCGACACTAACAAGAATAAACGTATTGAAGGTCTTATGAAATGGCCGGCCAAATATTCGTTCTGTTAGAGCTCACGTTTTAAACCACTTACGTTTCTAATACAATGATTTCCTTAATAATTCGTTAGTCACTTTACATTCTTTCATCACGTAAATCCTAATAAGTGTACTTTCTTCGTACGTCAATATAGGAATATTCGATATAAGACTTGCCTCCTTACCGAAATCACTAAGATATTGCGACGTTCACTTTACGCCATATTTCCTACACAATACATCCAGGTGCTGCCGCGTAGTACAGTGAAACTCAACGATTCCTGCCGAAATTCTAGAACTAACACAAACGTACATCGGTGGTGGTTCTATGTGAAATGGCGTACGATGCGTAAGGAACATGTGCGAAAATCATTTTGTCAAACAATTTGTATCGAAGCGGCTGCAACATTTATTTGGTCGTGGGTAAATTGATAACTAGCAACAACATTTTAGTTCATATTATCACAGACGAGGTATAGGATAGTTCTAACACCATAGACGACGTACAGGATAGACCTAACACCTAATCTATTTCTGTGTCCATCGTTCTGAAATACCGATCGTGTAAAAAAATCACAGTTTTTGTTGTGCCCTCTACGATATAAAGCGGCAAGTGCAGGAATTACATACAATCCAACAATCAAAGATGGTAAAGTCGACAGATGTCAAGAAAAAATCCTCTTTTATTACATTTCCATATAAAGAGATACATACATATATTAGATTACACGGGTAGAATTGTTCGTAATCTTTTGATAACAGTAGAATACATGCATACGATGAATCATCTACTAATAAACAATTACGTTACTTTCGTATTGGTAATTTCATAGTTACGTTTAACTCTAATTCCAACCGCAACTAATATTGCAACCTTATTCTATGCCGCGTCGGTAACGTTGGTAGCGACATGAAAATGGTAAGGGTCTTCTCAGCCCCAAAACATCGGACAAAAACTTCCATAAGATGTTAATTCTATCTCATACGTCGTCTGTGATAGATCTAACACCTAATGTATTTTCATGTCCAACGTTCTGAAGTACCGATCGTGTAAAAAAACTGAAAGATGGTAAAGTCAATAGATGTAAAAAATTCTCTTTTATTAAATTACCATATAAAAATACACACATATATTAGATTACGTGGGTAGAACTATTGACATTCTTTCGATCTATTACTACATTTATTATAATTTACCTTTAAGTATTATGTAAATCATTAGATTTACAATCTGTATCAATCTAATATCAAGTACGTGAAAACTAATATCAAGTAAAAACCACGATTTTTTATGTATATAAGGGCACGATGTTTGATGCATTGGGGCTCAGTCTTTTACCAGAACGTTACTCCGCCAGTCGGAACGCGAGCAAGATCGGGTTGTAGTCCTTTTCGAACATAGAATTATTATATTCTCAATACGGTCTAAGACACCCCCGCGGCTCGTCGCGTAAATTGACCATTTAACTATTTAACTATCATTGTAACTGATCATTGGATCGAAGCAACTTGTAACTTCGCATTTATACTAGAATATATAGCTTTGTTAAGTTAGACTCACTCATTTCAACCAAACCTCTCCTGAGTAACATTAGCAATGAATTGGCTAGACTCACAAAGATATACCTTTACCTCTCGAGGTATATCTAACATTACGATACGCACAGTCCTCAACCCTTCTACCTATTGGAGAACGACGTAGTAACCACATGCGTTGAATGTTCCAGCCTTCCTATCTAACTAACCGAAATTCCGCTCCGTATAAGGACACAAAGCGTAACCCGTAACAGCACATATATTTTCACACATAAAATATTAAAAATGAAATCAAATATTTCATAATTATTATTATTGAAAAATGGAGTAGGTAACTGTTTCCGGTTGTAGGTAACCTACTGTTACTAATAAGGACACAGTTTGCACCAAAAATCCTCAATAATAATAATTAAAAATGAAAATGTAACAGCTGAAAAGAAAAGAAGATATTATACACATATTGTACATATATTTTTGCACATCAATTGAAATAAAAGTGATGTTAAAAAATATTCAAAGGCACTTTTCATCATTAGCAATTACTTGGTACACATTTGTTACTTTTCAAACTAGAGAATTTCATAAAGAAAGAATCTTTGCTAATTGAATTGGAATAAACAGTAATTAAAAAAAAAAAAAAACATTTCTATACCGAATACCAAGATGAAAAAACAAGGGATTAAAATTGTGTAGCATTTGTTTACACCCGTTACAATTTTCTCCGAAGAACACGCGAAGAGATATCTCAATATTCTTTTTCATAAGGACTTTCAAACCGAAATAATCGCACATTTTACTGTAATTTTGTCATTTTTTCTTTTCAATTAGCAATGAGTACGCGATGTCTTGATTTCACTATGAATATAACGAGTCGAACTACCTTCCACGTAACAATGTTTCTTTGCAAGCTTTTCATATCACACACAAGATATGAAAACCGTAATCTCGAGTATACTTCAATTCGTGCAAAGTTATTTCGAAAATTTACAAAAAAAATTCACCATACTCTACCGTTTCATGCAATCGCTGCACAAATTTGCATATACATACATACATATGTATTCTGTATCTCATCCGTGATATTATGCCCTTTATTTTTCATGACGAATGGTTCTTGAATTATATGTTTATAATTAATAGTTATATGTATTATTTAATATTGTATTACTTAATATATTCTGCATGTAATATTGCATCATGACATACAAATCATAGAAATGAAGAAATGCGATTACAAATAATGGGGTAACGTAGAATGCATACCCCTGTTAAAAAAAGAGACATTAACACGGTGATTAAAACGTAACAAGATAGAAACTATTTATTATCAAAATATAAATTTTTTAATTGCCATATTTTATTTTGTAAACACTTTCAATGCTTGTAATTAACGATAAAATATGGGATAAGCAGGGCGGACACGCAGGCAGTCTTAGAAACAAACTATAATTGGATATTAAACAAAATAACGTTTCTTCTGCATAATACAGATTTATTTATTGATAACCCCTTCAATATGAACTATTGAACGACTGGTGTTAGAATGATTTCTGCGCATGTCGCTTGCGCATCGTACGCCATTTCACATAGAACCACTACCGCTGTGCGTTTGTGTTATTTCTAAGGTTTCGGCAAAGATCGTTCATCTCACTGTAGTAACATTAGCCGAAAGCTACGAGTATGAAATACTATAGCACCCCGTATATGATTTCCATTTTAGACATATTATAATGTAATTATGCTGAAGTAATTGTTTCTAAATATCTCATTAGATTTCAAAACCTACGAAATAAAAGTTTTTTTCTACAAAAAATGAATATACATTTTGAAAAATTCAAAACAATAATGTAAAATAGAAATAGAAAATATTTTTATGACAGCATTTCTACAGTTTATGAGTACATTAAGTTCTAATAATAACAGTACAATCTTTAACTAGGCTAATTTTTTAAATTTCACCAAATATCAAAGTCTATCAAAGTGTTTACGAATAAGAAATTCTAGTAAATGATGATGTGTCGGATTGAATTCGCTTATTTCGTATTTGACTTAATATTGTAATCGTTTGATAATTTTATTAACACTAGTTAGGCAACACTAATTACGGTTATTTAAATATTGTTGTTTTTATACATTTAATTCATTCGCATATATTTGAAACTAATTATTTTCTAATTTCGACTGGTCATAATTTACATTGACATATGCTACATCAATATTTATTAACATAAAGGTAAGAATTTAATAATTGAAATTGTTGCAAAATACTTGAAAATAAAATTGTCGGTATTAGTTTTAGTAGTTTTTGGAACGTAAATAGAATAATTGCGCGATTGTGGCGCTATCCGTATTGTGGCAACATCAATGCATACCTACCAGTCTATGATATATCCGCGATGGTGTACCAGTCGCCATAGAACTCGTAAAATTGCTCGAAGTACTCGATGAACTTCGGGTAAGTTAACTTGTTAATTTCGGTCGACATATTCGTAACCGAAACCACCATTTGACGTTTTATTTAAAACTTCAAATAATATTTAAAAAATGTCTTTTACAGACATCGTTCCGAATGACCTTTTTATGAATATCACAGAACTGAACTGACAATTTTTTTTTATACATTAAGAATGAAAGATTCATTGATAATTTAGAAATATCGTGTATGAAATTCTTATTTGAATGATCATGAAATCGTATTATTAATGATTATTTTCATATAAAAGTATAATGCTATAATTGATGTGCCGATTTACGAAATTGACAGTTCGTGATAATTAAAGAGTTAAAAAGTTTTTATGCCTTTCGTATTCAATAAATTGATCTTTTCAGTCTTATCTTCTCTTATTGCAGGTATTCCCAAATTTTTTTGGCTTCTTATGGAGCCTGTTTTACATAACAAATGACAGATGGATGAAACTAAGTTTTATAAATTCACTTCTACTTCCATTATATGATCAGACGATCAGAATAAGTATCGTTTGTCTATATTGGAATACTAACTACCATCAAGATGAACATTAACTCAATAGGCACTGCTGATCTTTTTAATTTTTTGGAATCCAATAAACTTGGGGAGGTAGAAGAAATAAAAAAAGTATTCCACGAACTTTTTTTATGTAGTAAGTGAAGTTATGAAGTTAAAAACACCTGGTTATTCTTAATTTTGTTCTAATGATCTTTAAAATTTTGCAGCAAAAGACAATTGGTTGGTAAATGGTCTTTTTGACTATTATCTGTCTACAAATTCCTTGAGAGCTGTTGAGGTATTAGCTGGTGTTCGTGATCCACATGACAAGCATCTATTGGATCGTTTATCAGAAGCTCTTTCTAAATCTGGAAGTAGTGGCCAAAGAATTCAAACCCTTACTTTGTTAGGTCATATTGCTCGTCGTCAACCCACTTGGTTATACAAGCTTGCCAGTCATACTTTGTTTCGTGATTTACTTAAGTTACTTAAGGTACAACTAAATTTTAGTATAATAATTGATTACATCTGTAGAATAGCAGTGAACTTCATAATTACTCTAATTTTAGATGGAAGCAGATACATTATCCCTTATGAGTGCACTTCTTCTGTTGGTAATGTTATTGCCAATGTTACCTGCTGCTTTAGGACCATACCTTTCAGAAATTTTTGAGGTATTTGGTCGATTGGCCTCTTATTATTATCATCAATCATCATCTGTATTTTCTTCTCCTATGCATTTTACTTCTACAACAATAACAGGGACTATAGATAAAAATCATTTATATTTATTACATCTGCAAGTAAGTATTAATATTTAATTCAAAGTATGAAGAAATAGTTAATATTTCTTGGATTTCTTGTAGGTGGGACTGTATAGTTTATTTCACAGATTATATGCCATGTATCCTTGTAACTTCATTTCATATTTGAAACAACAATACATTCAACGAGATCAATTGGCTACTTTTACACATACAATTAGACCAATGTTGGATTCAGTGCGTATGCACCCTTTACTCGTTACTGCATCCAAAGATACAGAGATTTCTGCTGCTAGGTATATCTTCCAATTGCGAAAAGTAATGTTAATTTATATAATGAATTTTATATTTATTGTTTGTATTATTTTCTAGATGGAAAAAAATGGAACATCATGATGTTATGGCAGAATGCGGTCGTTTTACGCTAGATAAATGTCGGGAGGAAGTATTTAGAACTACGAATTCACGTTCTACGCCACCTTTAGGTTTGTAAGTTTTATTCAAAAGAAATGCAACTATGGATAGTTATACTATCAGTACATTTTCTAGATTACTCTTCTATGTGTACTCCAATAAACATTAGTGGAGGAATAGCGCCATCAGAAATTAGTAATGGTGAAGACCATACGTTTTGGTCGCCAAGTATGTCTGTGCCGCCACATAGTCCCCAGTTTCCAGCTACATCCCATGAACAACGATCTGCTCCTTCAACACCAAATAACAACAGAAGCGGTACATCTCCCCCTGAAGCTGCAGTTGAAGCCACTCCCGAAACAACTCCTGTTAAGGTACGTATGTAAAACTTCAAGAAATAATTGGAATTATATTTCAAATTGTGTACAGGATTTGCGAAAATTGTCAGTGAGGCAAGTACCTACGGGATCTGCTGCAGTTCGTGCTTTAACTGCATTTGGTAATGGTACGTTAGGACCAAGTTCACGACCATCTACGCCAATTCCCTTAAATCCGTCTGTATCTGGCTCTATGATTGGAAGTGGGGATGGAAACAATGCACATGGATTTCTGTCGCACAAGCTAAGTAAAATTATCGCAGAGAGACAAGTTGTCAGTCAACCCAAGTCATCCGTTAACGTCGATGAAGATGGAAGATTATCAGAAATGGACACAAATCAAAATGGGAAAAACGATTCCTGGCAAGAAGATCAAGAGGTTTTGTATTTTAGATACTTTTAGATGTATACTAATGAAAATTGGTAGAAGTGTCTATATGATACTGCATTGCGTAGGTTTTAGAAATCGTAAGCTTACAGACTGTTGGAAAACTCGAAAGTTCGAAGCATATTGAACAACAGGAACACCATAATGAAAAAATACAAAATGCTTTTGCAGATTTGTCTCAAAGGGTTTATCAATTACGTTTGTATTCTCAGAGTAAAATTTCGGCACAACATTTGAATTTCAGTTCTTTTTACAAAGTAAGATGTACTGAGTATTTGTTATGTGAACATTAAAAAAAAGAAGAAATTCGACATAATAAAATTATATGTATATTTACAGATTCGAAAAAGTAAATCTTGTCCTGATATTAAAATTCAAAAACAAATTGGTAATGATAAAATATTGGAAGAGACGGGAACACAAACATTTGATTTTCTTCCATATGAATATTTATTGTTGGGAATTTTGGATCAAAAAATTCAAATGAAAATACAAAAACGTACTCAACAAGATACCGAATTTAGATTGTCGCCAACTGCAATGCTTGATCGATACGTCGAAGCTTGTACGCGTGCCAGCAATTGCTCTGGTGACAAAATGAGTTAGTACAATATAAACTTTAATAGCAGATCTTATATTTTAAATCAATAGAAAGTTGAGTCAAGTATCTTTTTTTGAAGGGACTAACACGATTAAGCAGAAGCAAAGAAAAGAAAACGATGGGGAAGATGAAGTAGGAGAAGAAGATACTTTAGATATTGAATGTGCAAGTCAATTGTTACAGCTAATGCAAATGCAACTGCAATTCGAACGACAGCGTAGAGAAGTTCACGCTGAACGTAATCGAAGGCTTCTCGGTAAACTAAGGGATTCGCGAGCCTTAGAAGAACACAATTATGCTTTGGTCAGTTGGCATTATTTATTCGAAATAAGATTTGCAGACATTTTTAATTTTAGCTATTGCTAAACACGAAATTCTTATCATATAGACGGATCGGTTGAAAATAATGGAAAAAGAAGTAGAGGGCTTAAAGGCTGAATTAGAGCGTAAGAAGAGAGAAACTTGTCAAGCTGAAGACAAATACAAGGAAGCATTGCATCATTGGCAAACTAAGGTAATTTCGATAAAAATTCTATTGATCGTATTGCTAATTTAGATTTGTATAGTAACTCAATTAATAACGTACAGTGTGTAGAAGAACAACGATACAATCAAGCGTTGAAGGATCGTCTCGAATCTGTTGAACTTGAATTGAAGAATGAACAAAAGAAAGTAACGGATTGTGAGCAACGAATTCGTTCAACAGAGGCTTCATTGTTCGACGCGGGTCATCAGCTAAGAGTAGCCTTAAAAGCTGCAAATCGTAGTAAAGAACTAGAACGTACTCTTGATACTGTACAGAAGAAATTCCTTCTATTCGGAGAGGTAGTATTTCAAGAAGTTATATACGTACTCGTGTGATTTTTAATATATTAAATTTGTTTTTGTGTTTCTGTAGGCACATGAGAAATTGCAAGAAAGTACAGGTGGTCTTTCACCAATGACAAAACAAGAAGTAACACAAGTACAGAAGTCATATGCAGAAGAATTAACTAGTAAGTATATTTTAATTATTCATAAACGATTTCAAAAGTATGTTAAACGCAAGTTACGTGAAATGTGATACTTTTAGGTTTACGACGCCAATTGGAATCGCGGACATCTCTTGTAGAAGCCTTGAAAATACGTCTGAGTGAACTAGAAAATAAGGATGCACGAAAAGAAGCGCAACTCGTAGAATTACAACGCCTCTTACAAGAAACGAAAGATCAGCACGAAGCTGAATTAGAAGCTGTTGAGTCAAAATATAAAGCGCAAGCCGAGATCAATCTTCTTCTTGAAGGTCGTATACTTGAACTTCACGGTACTTTAGAAGCAGCAACTTGCAGTAATACTACTGTGAACAATCTAGCTTCTTCGGCATCGCCCAAAGAAAGATCACCTCCACTGTCAGCTAGTTTAGCTTCTTCCAGTGAGGGAAGCCTTGCCTTTATTCATTCAAGTACTGGAATTATAATGAATGACTGCTGTGATACCGCAGGTGAAATTCCTAATCTCCAAGCTATCGTCGAACCTGTGCCAAGCCAGGCAACTTCACCATCTCGTCAACATCAACAAAGACGAAATCCGAAACAAGACTAACGCTACGCAAATCCGACTACCGAGTCTTTTCGCATGCAGCTATTCTATTGTGCACGCGTGCAACTGTTATCCAGTGATGTGGTATTAAATCAGAAGAAAGTTCTTTGTAGCTTTTTATCGACATATTATGCGGAATTCATAAAAATATTATTATCGCGTGATTTCGATAAATAATTGAAAATACACTGGTAATTAATAAAATTACTAGCATGATATGATTTCACTCTTGAGAAATGAATTCACAATGAATAAATGGTTGAGATATTTTGTGAGCAATTTTATATGTCTCAACTAAACAAATCCTTACATTACTTCCCTTCATTACGTACCGGTGACACTTTACTTATCATTTCCATTTGTAAAACTACTCTTTTTTCTTATATTTATCAGTGGAAAAAGAAGAAAAAAATCACTTAATTCTAGAAAAAATGAATATATTATCGAATACGATAAGATTTACATTAACTACATAATACTGAACAATCAATATTTATCTATAAAATGTTGCGGTGAATGACAGAAGGATGAGTCACGAATGTGTTAATTAAACTGTCCAATGATCACATGAAAAGCACACTTTTTACATTTGAAACAGTCGTATCTAAGTAAACAAGTTACGAATATATCAAATATCTAAAAATTATCATCTTGTCATTTGTTCATTCTTTAAAATAAGTTTCTAATTCGCGACTCATAGTCATATTAATTGCATCATCTGGATTGGCGTAATTTGCCAAATCTGGAAAAGATTAATAAATAAAAAATATTTTTCTCCAATTAAAAGAAGTTTCTTTAAGTACCCAAAATTATTCTTGTTATATTGCTATCTAACCACATAATCGTTACTCACGATTATGCCCCATCTGTATCGACGATTTTTTCAGTTTTTGTAGTAACAACTGAATGAGCCAAAAGCATGTTAACCACAGTAAAGTACCTACTGAAAATGCTCTTAACATTGTAACACCACCGTATGTGTCTATTAACCATCCGCATATTAAACTACCGCTTGATACTCCTAAAAATAATTATTAGTATATACATATCAATTATATAAAGTAGTAAAGTTTTCGTAATTAACTTACTATTACTAACCAATTCCTTCAAATACAGCACCAATGAATCCTTGTATAGTAGCTTTACTGCCAGGTGGTGTTACCTTATCACCATATGATACCATTGTAGGCCAACAAAGACCTAAGGTTGGTCCATGAAGTACTTCAATAATTAAAAACCACCATGGATTTGATACAGTACTATATGCCATAAATCTAAAAAAAAAAGAGATAACTATTAGTACAAAATTAAATTAAATACTTGAAGGAAACTTAATTGCTTACCTAATTGCATAAATCAATAAAACTAAACTCATAACATTTACATGGCCCAATTTTCGTAATACACTTCCTGAGATAAAATTAAATGGCAGTTCTCCTAAAAAACACTGTATACCGGTCAAAAGGCCTTGTAAAGTTTTCAGCCGCGTTATTTGAGAACTACCCGCTAAATCTTCAGTGTACCAAAATAGAAAATTCCATACTACACTGGTACACATTCCAGCACCTATGCACCACCATCCAAATACCAACACATTACCATCTTTAAAGACGGTGACTAGTTCCCACAATATCGACGGTTCATCCTCGGAGCATTCTGGATTTTTCTGTAACGATACTGCTTTCTCCCATTACCTGACAATTTTTTATACTTTTGATAAGTAAGAAGTATCAGACTTCTGTACTATCTAAACTTTTATTTATTCATAACATTAGATATGTTAAAATGATTGTACCTTTCTTAAAGTTGTCGATACAATAATGTCAAAAATCATAATGACTAACATGATATAAAATATACAGGTATAATCTTTCTCAAGCTTTCCTTCACTAAAAACATCTACCAAATATCCTGCACTTATTCCAAAAATACCAAAACCAATGCTGCCCCACATTTTTTGTTTTCCATATTCCTTGTTCTTTTCATTTCCTATAATTCATAAGTGTGAGAAAAATATTAAGTACTCAAATCATTTATATGGTACTAACCAAAGAGATTAAAACATATAGTATCAGCTATGCTAACTACAACTGCCATTCCAACCCAGCTTATTATAGTTGCCCACAAAAATGAATGAAATTGGTAAGTTGAATTTTGCTTAGACTTTTCAGAAACTTCAGCTTCGTGCAATAACTGATTAAAAGTTGGATTATTATGACATGTAGCTGAACAAAATGTTCTTACATAATTTTTACAAGCTGGTTTGTGTGGTATATTGTCTGAGAATTGGGCAGAGAAAATATGTAAATACATGCATTTTTCTATCTGTAAAATAAAACAGTTAACAATATTTTTACTGTTCATTAACAAGTATAAGCAATTGTGTAAGTAGCATCTTACATAAAGATCATGAAACTTGTCGAATGTTAAAATAAAATCAAATTTATCTGTATCAGAAATAATACTTGAATTTGCTAAATCACAAAATTGAGATGCTTTCCAATTTGAACAGATCTCTGTGTACATATCTTGCGAGGCTTTGCAGGATACCTAAAACATGCATAGAATATAAATTAATTCATATGTTGTGTACTGAAAAAATAAAAATACTTTTTGTTTTATAAAATCAATATAAAAGGAACTTTACTTGACAGGATACATTCATATGTATGGTGTCTGTTGTCACATTATTTATAATTTTCTGAGAAAATCCCGTTTTTGAGCATATCTGTAGAGATGCATCACCATCACAAATAAGAGTATAATTTGCATTATTGTCTATTTCAGGTATAAAGTGTATTGTAAACATAGCTATTGCAACTATAGTTTGAAATATTAAAAGTAATATTTTATGAATTTTAAATTTATCAGCTAAGGCCCCAAATAAAGGTTTTGCTACTAAACCAGAGATTGGTAATATTGTGTATATTGTGCCCACTAAAAATCCAGAGAAACCCAACTGTTTTGCTATTGTTGGTAAAAATGGCACTACTGGTCCAGTAGCTAAAAAATAAAAATTTAATTATGTATGATACTCCACAAGATGTAGCTGAATATTTAAAATGTAATGCAATCTACTTACCTGCATTGAATAAAAAATAATGTGCTTTTATTGGTAGGAAGTCCTTATTTACGTTTTCAAACATTTTGAGAATATTATAGTTGTGCCACACAATAGGTTAAGGATACAAACTACTATCTGAAAATGATATACATTACTGAATAACTGCTTTAATTGTTGCATATCAACGATGTCCGACACATTTATCAATATTAAAATCAATTTAGATTAAATTCGAAAGATTTTATTTTAAAACTGGATGTTTTCAAAATTAAGATAATAGTAATTATGTATATTGATGCACATAAATTTGTTTTTAAAATTAAAAATGAACATATGAAAATAATTTTTTAAAGAATACATACTCTGGTAACCAATTCTTAAATCACGTAACACATTTACTCATAAAGAAGGCTTCAAATTATCTGATACAAATAGCCTATAATTTTTCGTTCCACGTGCACTTTGCTCAGAAACACTTTACCACTTCTTCTACTGAAATCATAAATTCCACTTGCTGTATTTGCAGAAAATGTAGATTGCAAAGAGGTGGATCTCGTAAATATCATATTCGCATTCCGCCTATACTATTATGTTTCATATTATGCACATCGAGAAGATTAAATTTTCTACAGTCATAAAAGTTTTTACGTATTGTAATTACCTTCTTTTTCAGTATTTCTTATCGTACGTTTTGTCAATTATAAAGAACATATCATAAATTAAGATAACACATATTGTAAAGCAAACATTTGTTGGTGTATCGATCATATCAAACTCTTACTGGCAAGCGAACGTCAAAATTAACACTTTCAACAATGACTTAAAATCTTCGACCCGAACGATTGAACTAATTTATATGACACTATAAGTTTATTGATACATGATACTCACACACTAACAGATATGACACGCGGCATACAATTATATAACTGTTTTTATTTAGTAAGAAATACTGCATGTCAAATATGTAATTTTCAACTTTTGAGCTATTTTTAAGTTTTGGTAAAAGTATATGTAATCAATATATTATAAAACTACTATACGTATCGAATATAGCATGTACATGAAATTTAATTAAATTCCTATACTTCTATTTCTTTCTTCTTTTTTGTACAAAAATCCTAGAAACAAAAAACTAAATAAATTTTGTAAATACATAAATCAATATGTTCAAAATATCCAAGACAAGTTTGTAACAAACTGTGCTTTAATCTGTCATCCATACATTTACAATATACATTTACAATATATATGTATATATTTATAAGTTTTAATATACCGCTTCCTTCTGTTCTTTTAGCAATAAGGTGGGTTAATGTATGATTGCGGTGTATTACACTTTATTTTGTCCTCATCCATGGGATACGACGCACATTAGCGACACGCACGCGCGTTCACAAACACACGATGCAGCACGCACACACATCTTTTACGCTCTCATCTATTTTCCTACATTTTCCCGTTTTTTTCTTTTTTTTCATTAATCTACCGCGGACGATTCTACAAGGTCTTTGACTTTGCAGATCTTTCTTTACATCGAGCACATCGTCTATGAAGGATATGTATTTTATATACAAAGAAACGAATTTCTAGCTTACGCACTAAACGAATCTATATACTCTACATAAGATACACCAGTAACAGTGCGTTCGATATCGTACAGAAATCCATTGAAATCAGAAGTCACGTATACCTCTAAGTTTCTTGCATGTCTAGCAGCTTTCTTTCGAACACAAAAAAAAATGTAAAAAAAAGTTTCCGACAGCCAAGAGAATTACGAGCACTGTCACGATCGGTCCGTAATTTTCTTCACGTCAAAGAAATCGAATATTGCATGGTTCACATTTCGATAGATCGAGAAAGAGAAAGGGACGCCATTTAAGAGCGCAGCAGACAGAGGAACTTTTGATAGAAGGTTACTTCCGGCACTAGCGACTGAACTTACGTCTAAGCTGTCGACTAGTCATTAGAAAAAACTATCAAAAATTCCTACACAAAGTAGGCTTATTCTTTATGTACATATGACTACATAGCAGATTACCTATTAAAAGGTAAACTTTTTTTTTTGATATTATCGTGTAAAAATGTCAAAGATATTCATATGGTCTCGATAAAAATGGAAAAAAATGCGGAGAACGGGAAAGACCGACATCCTGATTCCAAAGGGAGAGAGAGACAGAGAGAGCTTTAAAAATCCGTTGTTCGCTAGTCAATCAGTAAAACAATATTTACACATAGAAAGAAACAGAGGAAAAAAAGAAGATAAACTGAACATCTTTCGCGCAATCCTTTTACTGCTTGACGTTCACGAGTTTACGGTGCTTCGACGATCTCAAGGAAATCAACGTAATCAGAACCTTTTTCCATCCTTATTACAGTACCGAGATTTTTCTTCGGAAAAAGAAAACGAATATAGAAATTCGTTTATGAAAATAAAACAATAAAATATACGGGGAACGATCATTCATAGATTAACAAGAAATAAATAAATCTATTGATAAATAAAACTTAAAAAGATTTCAATGACGTCATAACACGTCATGATTCACCCTTCCCTGAAACCCTTAGTCAAATAATTAAATGAGAAAAACATCGGGACCGTTTTTTTCTGTTTCTCGAGAGAAGAAAGCTCTGATTATGGTTGCACAGAGAAAGAGAGACAAAGTTAGGTGAAACAGTATTTACAATTGCAAACAGAGCATCCTATGATGTTTCGTTGAAAGTTTCTATCGCAACCGTGCACATGTTGTCCGACGGTAAACGAAAAAATTCTATCTCACAACGAACGTAACTCGATCGGTATAAAACAAAACAACTATATCACCGTTAGCACTCCAGTTTCTAAATACCATTTTGTCGAGCTTGTCAAAGAGACGGTGTGTCCACCGTAATGTCGCATGTAAACGTTTCAAAACGCCCGTTACAAAGATTCTAACGGCTAAAGCCAGGACGGTCGATGATGATGCGGCGGCGGTTGAAGCGCGTACAAGGAATGAATGTACTGTTGATAGGCAGTTGGGTCCATCGTTAAATTTGGCCCGTGAGGTGTCACATAAGCCGACACCGGTGGACCGTAAGCAGCTGATCTCTGAGCAGAATGAAGGAAAGGATGAGGCGGATAGTTTCGTGGTGGTTGATTGCTCAGCTTGTTACAGGCTTGCTGCGTGGTGTCCGTGACTGGTGGCACTTGTTGTTGCTGCTGCTGTTGTTGTTGTCTCAATGCCATACTGTAGTAACTGTTTGGATTTCGAAATTCATCTAGAAATGCGAACGCCGCCGCAGCAGCTGTTGCGTCCTTATCGTAGAACGGTGAACTGGTCGTGGTGCTGGTAGATGCGGCGAAGTTGAAGGCACTTCCAGCTGGTGGCACCATGGTGGTGTTCTTCAAACTGATCGAATCAGCGGATGTTCCTGTGTATTGCGGGAAACCGGGTATACCGGAGCTAGATTGCGTTTCGGTACTAACCGCCGACGAAACACTTGCAACGTTCTGCTGCTCTTGCTGTTGCTGTTTGCTTTTCCTGCTCTTCTTCGTTTTCACTGGCGCTGACGTAGAACTGGCTGCCGATGTTTCTCCACCTCTACGAGACGACATCGACAAGATACCCTGTGAGTTTTTTGCCGCTGCCGTTTGTAAACTTTGAAGTAGATTTAGATCTAGCTCTGCAGCTCCAGATGCTGGACTGCGCGCGTACGCCAGGTGTTCCGGTTTCGTTGGTGGCGGCCGTGGAATAGTCAACAGTTGTTGCTGCTCTTTACTTGAACGACCCACCAGACCCAGACCTAATCGAGCATACGCTGGATTCGTTGCCACAGAATCGGCCAAGGTCCCAACAAACGCGGCGTCAAATTGACTAGCTGAGACTGCCTCTGGTTGCGGTAACGCCATTATAGGATCGAAACCGAATTGCTCTTGGCTTGTTCTCGCTGCGGTCTCTTGTGTCAAACCTCGAGACGCCTCGGTGGACGATTCATTGTAAATGCGTTTCTTCACCGGTTGCAAATTACTGGTCGAAGAATTCGCTGCCCCGCTACTGGCGCCACCCTTCGAGCTTGCGTCGAAATAGTGCGGACTGGGATACACCGGTCTGGAATTTGGCATTGGGTATCCGGACGGTTGAAAACCGCTAGGATAGAGGGATTCGTGCGCAGTCAGGTTTTGCTGGAATGCTAATATTTGCGACTGGTCCTGCGTCGACAACTGCTCACTTGTGCTTGTTGTTTTACCAAGGAACGACCGTTGCTGAGCGTACTTTTGAGCGTTCAGAGAATTGCTGAGATCGGTAAAGCTTGCCCGTTCCTGGGACGATTGTTGTTGTTGCTGTGTCTGCTCTTGACTGCCGTGCCTCGAGACGGACCTCTGAAGATCGATATTCGGATAATTATTACCGAACGTTGGCGAGTACTGATTCGGCGACTGATATATCTGGTGGTTAGTGTTCAGATTTAACGATGCCGCCTCAGGTGGTACAGTGAAATTTCTCTGCTGTTCCGTTGTTGAAGGCTTTTCACCACTACTGGACTTAAGATAATCCGTTCGATGTTCCGTTTCGCTAATCGTCGACGGTGGTGCTGTTGAAGATTGTATATAAGAATGATTTTGTTTATATCCATGGGAGTAGTTCGAAGGTGTTGTCGCAGTCTGAGGATAATTTTCGGTGTTCTTCGTCTGTGAAGATGGCGGTTGCAGACTATAATTTGTACTCTGCTGCTGTGGAGACGGCTGCGAGTAACTTGAGGGCTGCTGTTGCTGCGATGACTGTGACGCGCACACAGAGGATTTTTGTTGAGGCGATGGCTGGGAGTAATTGCGGGTTTGCTGAGGCGAAGGACATGGTTGCGAGTAGTGAGACTGTTGGGGTGACGGTGATGGTTGAGTATAATTACGGGATTGTTGTGGTGACTGTGATGGCTGAGAGTAATTACGCGATTGTTGAGGCGACGGCGAAGGCTGTGAGTAATTACTAGGTGGTGCTTGCTGGGGAGACATCTGCGAGTAGTTTTGAGGTGTTTGAGGTGAGTGTATCGAGTGAGAGTAATTAGCAGGCTGCTGGGGAGAAGGCTGAGAATACTTGACGGGTTGTTGCGGCGATGGCTGAGAGTATGACGTGTTTTGTGGTGAGGATTGAGAATAGGAGGACTGAGGTGCTTGTGGGGAGTGCTGAGGAAAAGTTTGTATTTGTTGTGGCGATGGCTGAGAATAATTTCGCGGCTGTGGAGAAGATTGGGAGTAAGCTGCTGTGAGAGGTTGAGGTGAGGATTGCGCGTAACCGGTAGAATGCGTTTGGGGTGAGGGGTGGGAGAAGTTTGCAGGCTGAGACTGCTGTGGATATACAGGAGGCGGTTGGGGTGACGGCTGAGAATAATTGGCAGGTGGTTGGGGTGATGGCTGAGAATAATTGGCAGGTGGTTGAGGTGAGGGTTGGGAATAATTGGAAGGTGGTTGAGGCGAGGGTTGGGAATAATTGGAAGGTGGTTGAGGCGAGGGTTGGGAATAATTGGAAGGCGGTTGAGGGGAAGGTTGGGAATAATTAGAAGGCGGTTGAGGCGAAGGTTGGGAATAATTGGAAGGTGGTTGTGGTGAAGGTTGAGAATAAGTAGAAGGTGGTTGAGGCGAGGGTTGAGAATAATTCGAAGGTGGCTGAGGGGAGAGCTGAGAATATCCGGATGATTGTTGCGGAGATTGTGCATATGGAGAAGGTTGCTGTTGCGGAGATGGTTGAGAGTAATTCGGAGGAGGTTGAGGAGAAGCTTGAGAGTAAGGTGAATGTGGCTGCTGAGGCGAAGCTTGAGAATAATTGGATGCTTGTGGCGATGGTTGAGAGTAATTGGTAGCGTTCTGCTGCGGAGAGAGTTGTGAATATTTGGCTGTGGCTGGTTGCTGCGGCGATGGTTGCGAATAATTCGACGGTGGTGGCTGGGGAGACGGCTGAGGATATACCTGTTGGATCGGTTGCGGTGAATGCTGCGAATAAACAGGAGATTGACTTTGATTAGATGATTGCAACTGTTGATTGTAAGGTTCGTTTTGGGTTGAATTTTGTGGGAAATTAGTTTGCGGGGAACGTTGTGGAAACGTAGGTGATAACTGATGATATACATCCCCAGAATTCTCCTGAGGTGATTTTTGAAACGTTTGATGTGACTGTTGGGTCTGTTGTTGTGGTACCTGGGAGTAAAGAGGTGCCTGCTCGTAAGACGACGATGGATAAGCTGGAGACAGAGGATGGTTTTGTGGTGATGGAGTGGGCGGCAACTGAGCGCTGTATCTTGGAGGTGTAGCATAATAAGGGCTATTGTACGGACTACTTCCCGTCGATAAAGCGTCCTGATAAAATCCAGCTCCTCTTATTTGTGGTTCGACCGATGCTATTATAGGCTGCCCTTGCGGAGACCGACCTGAACGTCCAGGTGGTGATTCTTGAGAGAAACTCGAAACAGACTCGCTTACACTACTACCACCGGTACTCATTCTTCTTTGTCTACCACAAAACACTTCCTGCAACTCACCATCTTTCTTCACCATACCGTCCTCTGATTCCTCATCTTTCTTTTTCGATTTCGGAGCCCCGAACGCTTTGAACCACGCACTCAAATTAGGTGTCGCTGCTTTTGGCTTTTGTGTGTCCTTTACACTAGATTGGTTATCTTTAGACTCTTCTACGACAGGTGTTTGTGCCACCGTTACACCGGACGATTTTTCTTCTTTAAGACTAGACACCGGAATTGCAGGAAGAGTATTGTGGTCTTCTTCTTCGTCATCATTCGATAAATTAGGATTAGGCGACGAAACTAAGCTCTTACAAATTAACTGTATGGAATCCACGTTTTTCAAGACAGTTCCTAGACTAAGTTTTGGTTCTTCGTCCGTGCTCTTGTTCGTTTGATCGTTATCACTGGTCAATTGCACCGCCGTTTCGGTGGTGTTAGAGTTAGGCAAGTTCAACGGTTTCTTCAGGAGTAAATTTCCCTTACTTTTTCCAGGTTGCAAACGATCTATTGTACGTTGAATTTTTTTTGGTCTGCTAGGTCCGTGGGGACCGAAAATTTTAATAGAACTTGGTCGTTTTCTTGGTGCTTCTACTTTTGGACCTGCCCGACCAGATTCAACGGACGAAGAATGAAATATTGGTGAATCACTCCCTGAAGAAAATTCAGATAGTCTTGGTGCGTCATCTAACCATTTGTTGATATCCTATTTAGTGGTAAAAATAAACAAAATATGATTATATATATACACACACACGCAAACACACACATATATATAAAACATTACGTTACATCTATCTATATCATATAAACGTGAAATGTAAAATATTCTTACATGAAGTGTTTGCTCTGTTGCCTGATTTAATGCTTGTATCGAACTTTCTTCTTTTCCAAATCCTTTGGTATGCTTGGTCTGAACTACTTTTACTTTCTTAGTCTCGGTGACTTCTTGGTCTTGAGTCTTGACAGGATCTTCCATGGTAGGAACTTTTTCTTCTTTTATTCCTTTTTTTAACTTTGGTCGTTTCGCGCTGGCTTTATCGCTGTCGTGAAAGGTACTACCATTTGAAGGCACTTTTTTTGAATACATATTGTGAAGGTCGCTTTTCACTGTTTTCTTCTGTTTCTCTTTCTCATTTTTCAACTTTTCCTCTCGTCGTCTTTCGCTTATCTTATCCTTTAAACCGTCCAACGATTCTATATCTTTATCACCTATAAATGCAGGAATTTTCTTAGACATATTGGTTTCTTTTGAATCTACATTACTTTCTAGATCTAAATCTTTGGAATCTATTTCACTCGATATTTCGCCATTTTTTAGTTCATCGTTTTTCTGTTTTGATTTTTTCTCTTTGTCCTTTGCACGGCTCTTCTCAAACTTCTCGTCAGATTTTAAAACTTTCAACCCCGTTTTTTCCTTTCTCCGACTTTTCTTAACTTTGATATGCTGTGACTTGTCCTTATTTTCCTGCGGTACTTCCTCTTCGTGTGATTCATTTTTCTTCACTTTGTTCTTCTTTGCATTGTCCGTAAATATTTCGGTCTCTTCGAGTTCTTTCTTTTCGATTTTTCTACTTTTACTTTTCGCGATGACTAGGGGCTCGTAATCTTCCTCGAAGTCTTCTTTTCGCTTCTTATTCTCTTTCGTTTCCTTTATCGGCCGCACACTTTCCGCTTCTTTCTTTTGTTGATGACGTTCTTTACTAATTTTTTTATCTATCTTCTTAAACTCCTCCGATTCTTTGGATGACAGCTTTTTGGTTTTTAACAATAAATTATTCCCGTCAACGTGTTTTCTTCTTTTGGACGTAACAATACTTGATTCAGAGATGGCATCCTCGCTCTCTTGTTCTTTTTGCTCTTCCTCGTTCACAGATTCTTCGTCTTTTGCCCTTTTACTTTTTTTCTTCCCTCTCTTTTTCTTCGGAAGCTTATAATTTTTCCCTCGTTTCTCTTCCTCATCATTCTTATCATTCGATTTGGACTTTCCTTTACTTTCTGATTTGTATGATTTCGACTTTTTAGTGGACTTTTTCGAACGTTTTCTATTTTGATGCGGAGATGAAACGCGAGAAGGACACGATGGAGATGCAGGAGCAGCAAGAAATGATTTCGGTGACGAAGGATCCTCGTCGCTAGATGTTTCTGATTCCAAATAACGATTCACAGCTTTATCAAAAGCTTCCCTAAGATTGAATGCCATTTCTGTATACTCTGTGATATAACAAAATAATATTTATGTTAAAAAATAACTATTAGTGCTGCTTGATAACAAATTGTTGAAAATAAAAACCACTAACCATTATCGGAGCCATTGTATTGCCTACAATTATCTACTATAAGTCGAAAATCACGTTTAAATTCACTTAAACTTTTATATAAACCATTTTCGAGTTTCTCTTCCATTGTACTAAGATCCATAGGTTTTCGTACCACGCTATAGTACCTATGTTGAACAATAATATTAAGAACATTTCAATAAGTTCACAGTAATTAATTCTAATTCTAATATTTTATACCTTGGGGCATATTCTTCGTCCACCGGATCAACGAATGGCCAAGCATCCACATGATCCTTCAGACTTTCAAGAACCTTATGCATTCCAACTCGACGTTCTTCTTCCTCAATTCCAAACGAATACCCATACTTATATCCATAATTAGAAGACACATAATGTCCATCACTATTACTTCCAATGCCTTTCTTCTTTTCTAACCCTTCCATTTCATCTCTAGTGTGAATCACAATCTGACCAACAGCTGAAGCCAATGAATTATTAGTTTGCCGTCCTTTCTTTTGAACCGGCGGTGAAGGTAAGGGTGGAGGTGTCTCCTCTTTAACATAAACATTCTTTGAATTCTGAGTCCCCTTTTTACTCCCTTTGTTTGTTTTAGTTTTGATCTTCGATCTAACCATGACTGTTTCCATCTGTGTCGTGGGTTCGTGACTTCGAAGAACTCGCGAACTATTACGTTGTAATAATTTGCGTCTTTGCTGTTTCTCTTTTAAATCGAAAAGTTTGGGGATTTCGGGCATGAAATCCTCGGATAGAGTACGGTAAAGCTTACGTTCGGTATCGTACTCCTAAGTATTATAATAACATCGTTAGCAGAGTCTAAGGAATAAAATAATAAACTCGTTTAATAGGACAATTACCGAATCACGGAATTTTTCAACTAGACGACTCCAATCCTGCTGAGTAAAGCAGACAACTTGCCAAACACTTTCTTTCCCTTCCCCGTGTATTAAACTGTCTTCCTTCTTCTCCTCCTCTTCCTCTTCCGCCTTCGCCACTCTGTTTCGTCGTCTTTTACGCTTTTTATCCCTAGGTTTACTTTTCGGTTTGTATGAGATGCTGTTAGAAGTATCAATGTAGTCCTCCCTATATAATCGAGTGCCGTAAAAGTACCAGTAGGCAGAATTCTTACGATCATGTCCTAAAGGTTCGACTCGCAGGCTATCCGAGTCCAAATTACTTAATGATTGCTCCTGTAAAATTAGAAAGAACAAGATGTTAATACATTTATGATGAGCATTTTCAATGAAATAAATTTTTTTCTAAACCTTTTTTTAAACACATACCACGTCTTCAGCGTCAAGCCTGAAGTCGCAGAGAGCACGTAGGATTTCAACCTTTTGACGAAGAGGCAACAACTCGAAATCTACATCTGTATTAAAAGGATTCTCACATTTATACTCCTAGAACCAATTAAAGCATTGAATATTTTCAACAATTATGTGCAAATGTATGGATGTATAAGATAAAAGATCTAATTTACCTGACATTTCTTTCGAAAGAGTCTACGAAGAAACATCTGATAGTTAAAGGTGGAAATGTCATTGCGGGTGTCATTAGGTAAACAACCTTCAAGTAACCTAACTATCAGCTCCTGCACTAAGCGTCCCTCAGTTCCACCATCCGTTAATAAAGCTTCTTCTAAATCCTAAAATAATGTACATTTAAAATACAGAAATGATTTAAAAGAAAATTGATGCAACCGTGAAAAAATAATACATAAGCCTTTAAGAACATAAAGCTGAAGCATGGTTCTATTTAACTTCCTGGAAGCTGAAGCAATACTAACAAGTCTCATATACAATGCCTACTCGTACGAGTCAGCATTAAGGTAGGTACCTCAATATCAAAGTCCAGAAGATTGAAGGCAGCCCTAAATAATGAGCAGAAGTGTGCTATACTTGGCACCTCCCACCACGATTGAATGTCTAAAAAAATAAAGGAACAATTGAGAGTTCCTTGATGTTGTGTTTCTTTGATCCCTGGCATATCTTTTTTTTGCATGTACTCAGAATAGTTCAAAAGTACCATCAATTCAGAAACTTTATTGGTAAAACTGTATGTGTATGTATACACAATATATAACTACATATTTATATTTTATTGACAAGTGCAACTATAGTTGCATTAAAAAATAACTGTTTGCTTTAACAGAGTACTATATGTTAGAAATATATTTTAATATTATTTTGAATGAAACAACATATAGATACTTTTCAGACAACTTTAATATAATACTTTAAATTTACAATACTGACAGTGAAATGTATATCTAAATCTTTTTTTCTTCTGTACCTTTTTATTTCGTTGTAATTTACACATTTTTCTCATATCATTTATACTGTTATTCTTAAGTGATATAAACAACAATTTAGTTACCAAAGTTTTTATGATTGATGTTTATAATTCAGTGTCTACAAAAATTCCTTCTTTAATGAAACCAAATTTTCCATTAAGAAAAAATGACATTAAATAGATTGCAAATTTTTTAAAGTGACAAATACACTGAACACTATAATTCAATTTCTAAGTATTCAGTAACTTGTACTTTTCATTCTGATTAAATATTTGTACATTAAAGTTAGCAAGTAATGTACCCAGTAAATTTCCTAACATTGCTATATATTGTTATTAATAATGACTTATTCCTGTCTCTTTTTTAACGAGAACAATTTTTTACAATGTACTATAAAATAACAATGCCAGTAACACAACAAAACTGAATGTTTATTTAAAAAAAAAACTACATTTCAAGGGAACAAAGTTTGTGTAAAGCCTACCAAAATATATAATAAAGCGAGACGATTTCGACAACAATAGTAGTCGCAAATACGAATATAAATGCGGCCGTGCACTGATATCCTGCGTAGAATGTAACACAATAGGGGAAAAAAACAATGAAAATGATTCTGTTGCTAAACTTGGGGTCATTGACAAGGGCTCTCAATTGTAAGCATCGATCTTCCTAGTGGAACGGTGTAATAATTAAAGGAGAGAAAAAAATCCATAAGATATATTTTCTCGTAATCCTTTCGTTCACGACGAGAGGAAACGAAAGCTCACCTAGGATTCCGATGAAAGTGGGAAACATAACCCGTCCTGTGGCGGGCAAACCGGGCGAATCACGTCAGGGCGGATAAAGGTTGTTGAAAATACCACGGTGAATCGTGTGCTGCTGCAGCCCTGTTTTAGGTGTAATTGAAACGAGTGAGGAGAACGAAAATTCCAAGGGGTAGGTACGATGATAGCCAAGCAAAACACTTCCGCTCGGCAGAGTCGATCGCTTTTAAAATACCGGGATGCACATCAGCGGGCTGTGACACCCATAGTCCTTGTAGAGACAAAAGAGCGGGCTAACGCAATTCCACATAGCTTGTCCCGCCGCCAGTAAACGGACCCGAACGATGATGTACATTCGTCCACTGGCAGTTCCCGAGGAACAGCTAACGGTGATTTATTTTGGCACAACACTGCACGGGTTGCCAGCGATGCGCGCGACACTTGCAACCATTCTAATCGGGTAACACTCCAGCCTCAAAACAACCACCAGCTTCCTCGCCGATAAACTGCACGGTCGTTTTTGACGCGGCCACATCAACGCGAACGGCGAACCTCTATCACCTATGAAATCCCGTTCACCATCGCAACGTTTCCCCAGCTTTTAAAATTCGATTTCGCGTATGTGTGTATATGTACACGTCGGTGTTTCGATAAGGATAGTTTTCTCAGACGTACTACGCGAACGTACGGGTGCGGACTGTGCAGTAGCAACTGCAACTGCGGGCGTATACCTATGAACACACGTTACACAGATGCACCGCCATTACGTTTGGCGCGAAACTTATTCAATTCTATTGACACGCGTGTATATACTCATTGATAATAGCAATTTTATATTGTAAACAAAGATATTTATATATATATATATATATACATATACAACACGTTTCTAAATATGATTGTATTGTAGTATTGTCATACGTTTAAAGTTTTTTATATTTTTAGAGTATTACATAAGTAATAGTATAAGCAATTATAGTGTATAACTTTGTAGATAAGTATTCTTCGTAAAGAGATTTGTAAATAATATTATTTATACAATACATATACATATATAGTAAAATGAATTTTTTTTTAAACAGTTGGTAAACTTTGCTCGCTTTCAGTAATGTGTGTGTGACGCGTCTTTTCATATTAACAGAAGAATAAGTTCTAAGAGTAACTGTTTCTTGTAATTTAAAATAGTGTTTGCATTATTAATTACTTGAGATTCTATGTGACGAAGTTATATTAGAAAACGGTTCATTATAACGAAGTGTAACTAAATATAACCAGAGCAAACAATGTCATCATTTAATTTGAACGATTTGGGAGATCAATTGAAAGATGTTACTCAAAATAACGCCGGCGTCGGAGTATCTTTTACAAAAAAATCCCTTAAACAGTATTCTGAAGTAGACGGTGAGTTATTTAAATAAAAATTATTCATTATTGTAATTTGCGCTATCTATTATTACATATTTAAGTACATTTATAAGTTTATGCAATAAATATGAACGTTTTGAAGGTTATATAAACTGAACACAAAATTTTTTACTTTATTAGCGTTAGAAATAGTTAATGCAATACGTACCTGCAAAAATATGGAGTATTTAGATTTGGAAGGCAACACTTTTGGACTATTTGCTGCAGAAGCTATGGCTCGAGCATTGGAAGAAAATGGTTCTCTATTAAAACGTGTCCTTTGGAAAAATATATTTTCTGGTTGTACAAAAACAGAAATACCAAAAACACTTGAATATCTTGGTTCAGCTTTATGTAATGCTGGTACTCAACTCTATGAACTTGACTTAAGTGATAATGCTTTTGGCCCAAATGGTATTCAAGGATTAGTCAATTTTTTTACATCTAGTTCGTGCTATACTCTTCGTGTGTTAAGACTAAATAATAATGAACTTGGAATATCAGGTGGTAAAATGTTGGCAAAAGCATTATTAGATTGCTATGATAATAGTCATAAAGCAGGTAAGATTTTTTATTGTTAAATGTTTGCTGACAGAATAAATTGAAAAATATATATGAGAATTCCTTTTGTTTTCAGGAACACCCCCCTTAGCATTGAAAGTATTTGCTGCTGGAAAAAATGCACTTGAAAATGAAGGTGCAAAAGCATTAGCAACTTTTTTTCACAAATTAACCAGTTTAGAAGAAGTTGTTATGTCTCAAAATGGTATATATCATCAAGGCATAACAGAAATTGCTAATGGTTTATCATCTAACCATGGGTTAAGAATTTTAAATCTTAATGATAATATAATTGGACTTAAAGGAGCTCAATCTCTTGCCATAGCATTACCACATTTCCAAAATTTAGAACAACTTAATCTGGGAGATTGTCTAATTAGAACGCAAGGCGCTTTAATTTTAGCGGAAGCGTTAGAAGTCAAAGGCAGCTATCCTTCGCTCACTGTACTTAATTTAAGTTACAATCAAATTCGTACAAAGGGTGCTGGTCCGATAGCTCGTGCCGTGGCTGATAAAGAACATCTATCAACTCTAGAATTGAATGGAAATGCTTTTGGCACAGGTGGTTGTGAAATTTTACGTAATAGTCTTAGAGCTTCTGGAAGAATTGAATCATTATGTACATTAAGCATTGATGATAGCGATGCCGAAACTGAAGAAGAAAGTGAAGATGATGATGAAGATGAGAACAAAGATGAAGACAAAGATGAAAATAAAGATGAAATCAAAGATGTTAACGGAGTATCTTTTGCGAAGAAATCCCTTAAGCTAGATACTGAAGAAGACGGTAAATTTATTTGAATTAAAATTATTCGTTATTGTAATTTACGTTATCTATTGCTACATATTTAAGTACATTTATAAGTTTATGTAATAAGTATGAACAATTTGAAAGTTATCTAAAATAAACATACAATTTTCTACTTTATTAGCATTGGAAATAGTTGAAGCAATACGAGCATGCAAACAGTTGGAGTACTTAGATTTGGAAGGCAACACTTTAGGGCCACTTGCTGCAAAAGCTGTGGCTCAAGCATTAGAAGAAAATGGTTCTTTATTAAAACGTGCCCTTTGGAAAGATATGTTTACTGGTCGTGTAAAGTCAGAAATACCAAGAGCACTTGAATTTCTTGGTTCAGCTTTATGTAATGCTGGTACTCAACTCTATGAACTTGACTTAAGTGATAATGCTTTTGGTCCAATTGGTATTCAAGGATTAGCCAATTTCTTGACATCTAGTTCGTGTTATACTCTTCGTGTATTAAGATTAAATAATAATGGACTTGGAATATCAGGTGGCAAAATGTTGGCAAAAGCATTATTAGATTGCTATGATAATTGTCATAAAGCAGGTAAGATTTGTTTGTTGTTAAATGTTTATTGTTCAAAGAAACTGAGAAATATGCAGTATTCTTTTTTTTTTCAGGAGCACCTCCCTTAGCATTGAAAGTATTTGTTGCTGGAAGAAATAGACTTGAAAATGAAGGTGCAAAAGCATTAGCAGCTGTTTTTCACAAATTAACTAGTTTAGAAGAAGTTGTTATGCCTCAGAATGGTATATATCATCAAGGCATAACAGAAATTGCTAATGGTTTATCTTCTAACCTTGGGTTAAGAATTTTAAATCTTAATGATAATACAGTGGGATTTAAAGGAGCTCAAGCTATTGCCAAAGCATTACCAAATTTCCAAAATTTAGAACAGCTTAATCTGGGAGATTGTCTAGTCAGAACTCAGGGTGGTTTAATTTTAGCGGAAGCGTTAAGAGTCAAAGGCAGTTATCCTTCGCTCACTGTACTTAATTTAAGTTACAATCAAATTCGTACGAAAGGTGCTGGTCCGATAGCTCTTGCAGTGGCTGATAAAGAACGTCTATCAACTCTAGAATTGAATGGAAATGCTTTCGGCGCAGGTGGTTGTGAAATTTTACGTAATAATCTTAGAGTTTCTGGAAGAATTGATTCATTAAGTACATTAATTGATGATAGCGACGCTGAAACTGAAGAAGAAAGTGAACCTAACGATGAAGATGAAAACGAAGACGAAGACGAAGACGAAGACGAAGAAAAAAGTAGTGAAAGTGAAAATGAAAGCAAGGAAAATAGAGCTGATAATGAAACAATAGTAAATGGCAATGTAATGCTATCAAATGTATTCATCTTAGATTTTTTAAAATCACCAACAGGAGAGAAGTTATTATTACTGCAAAATGTGGACGTACAAGATTTCGTTAATCATGCCAGAGTAAGTAAATAATACAATTTTTTTTATTAATATTGTTAGTACTATATCATACTTAACATTTCTTTTACATTATAGAATGTATCAAAAGATGCAGATACATCTTTAGAACTGAAGTTCATCGAAGAATTTACAAAAATAATTATGAAAGTCTCAGCATTAAGTACAAGTGGTTATGCTGATGTAAGATTGAAATCTCAACATCTTACAGATGCTTTATACTCGAAGCTATGTTCGTTTGCAGTTGAAAATGATCAGATTTCTGTTTGGAATAATGCCCTATTAGTCAATTTAGGCTTAATAAAAGTAAGTATTCTACAGTAATTAGTTTTCATGTAAGTGAAACAAACAATTCCAATTTTCTTGTTTTAGGCTGAGGATAAACGCAGCGGAAAAATTGATTGGAATTTAGAAGGTTGTTTTAAAGCATTAGAACTAGTTATACAAAAAGATTACTTTTTACATGAAACACGAAATACGCTAAAATTCTTTTTAGAATTACCAGTAAAAACAAATAGAACAAAAATTGTGGATTCGTTTCAAAATTCAAAAGATTCTCTTAAAGCCGCTTTAAGTCGTATACACAGCACGTAATAATTAACGAAATACTTTTTATATGATTGGTTTATAAAACATGGACATGTGAGATGTATCTATTTATTTTTAAATATTTTGCAAATTGTAAAAATACAAATTAATTATAAATTTTTGAAAAATAAAAATGTTGCATCGAATTTTTATAAGTTTTTTTTATATGAAGAATTACATTATTGTGCATATCGTAATTCTCTTTTTATGTTGAAGATACCAATTCTCAAACCAGAAGTACTAAAATTGGACTAGACTAGAGCTTTAGTAATGAATATGAAAATTACTGTTAAAGGTAGTACTTTTGTCAAGTTGGAATATGAAAAATAGACTGAAATTCGTATAGAATAAATAACGCTTATTTATAAAACTTAACATCAAATGCATCGAAAATTATTATGACTCTTGAAAGTTCCTATTACCGTAAAAATAAGAATCTTGAACGAAGCTCCTAGTAATTAGTCAATTATAATATCACGGAACTTTCATTCTTTTGTTAACATCGCAGACATGGGATCCCATCCAGGATGAAACAAATCCACTGCTAATGCTGCACAGTGGGATGATGATTGATCCTTCATGTACATTGTTGCCTAAAATAACACAAATATATAAGTCAATAAATATTATTATGAATTAAACTCCTGTCAACTATGTATACATACAAGGAATAGGATTAATTGTTGTTTTACTTTAGGATCACAGTCTTGTCCAAGAACAGAAGGATAATTTACAGTTCCACCATTTTTTTCTATATCTGCTGCAATGAGTTTTAAACATTGCTTTTCATCAACTGTCTCGATTATTGATACTATAAAACATAAAAATATATTATTATATTGTACTTTTGAGGGATCAATTTAAAATATATTTATAAATGATTTCTTACTTCTAGTAAATACATCAGCAGATAGGAATCTTACTAAAAGCGTAGCGCAATCTGAAGTTTCCACAAAAAGATGTGGATAACGTCGTATTAAAAGTTTTGTAAGCAACATGTTACCTCGATTTCCTGATAACGTATTACTAGGTGTACATACTACTTCATCTTCCGTTCTTCGTATAAGCAATACTGTGCCATTATATCTTTCCAAAAAAAAAAAACATACTTGTTACATCTATATAATATTATAACGAAATATTATAGTACCTATTTAATTGCTCCGCAATATTCAAATTGAAATAGTCTCTGATAATGTTTCGTACTAAACCTTCTAACGATGAGGACATTGTCATAATAGCTAACGGAAGTACATCATCGAATGTGGCGTCTAATACCTGAGAAATATATTACGATAATTTTACTCCACAAACGTTTTATGTAACATTATTTTAATTAAAACTGCTTTGTAAAATGTGAGCTACATTGATCTTACCAGACTTTTAATAGATGGATAGTTCATAGCAGCCCAAGTTGCAGTATATCCTCCAATACTCCAACCGTAAAGAATTATTTGTTCCTCAGTAAATTTTAAGTGATCGATCGCAAAGCGCATTACGCAATCGATAGCATTCTCTTCTTGTAGAGGATATGGTGCACCCTTTGTAGTCATTTTCATGTCTTACTGTTATCATTTTATGATCATAGTTTGACTGAAGGAGAAATCTTGCCATTACTTCAACTATATTTAATTTACATATATGATTGATATTAACTGCAACATTGCCAAAATTTCATCTTTGCAATTCTAAATAAAATATGTAAAAGTAACAGCAATTCTTCTCATCAAAGCATCAGCACAAATATGTTATAAAGTCTGATACAAAAATGATACTTACAGTACTACCACCAAATCCAGGATGATTCCACCCTAACACAGAATATCCCCTACTTAATGGAGTTGATATAATACCAGTTTCATAAGCACCGCAATTTCCTTCACATGTGACAACTAATATATTTCCATTTCTTGTTCTATAAAATCAATATACATATAAGGGTAATATGTCATAAAGTAACTTTTTAAGAAAAATGTTAGCAGTGTTTACATTACTTGTTACGTTGGTCAATGAACATAGCATCAATTTCATTATTATCTGCAGTTAACAATTTATACCTTGCCCCACCACTTTTTATCAAATCTATTCTTCCTTTCATAAGTTTTGAACCTGTGTTAATAGTTTATTATGTTAATAAGTATAATACAGCTATTTGTATATAATAATGATCTTTTATTATTAACTTACGAAATGCCCAGTTAATAATTGATACACTTCCAGGATATATCATCTTAATAGCAAATGTGTGAGCTACAATGTATGATAAAAATTTACAAGGCAATGTGAATATAAATTCTTTACCAGTTTGCCTTTTTATACGACCACTAGAAGCAGCAATTTTTTCTAATGTTAATTTTTCTTTTTGTGCATCCCTACAAGTACAAGTTTAAAACATGACTAAAATTCAAATATACATTAGCTTGTTATTATTTTAACAATGAAGAAAATTTACCTTTCTATATCAGTATATTTGCAATCTACAGGCCATGCCCAAAATTCAAACTCATACTTATGGAGTTCTTGTTTTGTTTCTGCATTATAACATGCATGTGCTTCTTCAAGTGTTTTTAAAAATTTTAAATATACTGAATTGTTGGCTCTAGAGCAACCACGGGCAGCTAATGATGCAATGAAAACTGCACCAGCACTAACTGCTAACTTACTCAAGGTATAAAGATTTTCAGCTAAGAAATTACTGCGTTGATAGAAAAAAATTGCCACTAGTGGTACTGTATATAGACTCATAGACCAAATTGCTGCAAACTAAAGCAAATT